AGTATACTAATATATATATATATATATATATATATATATATTATATATTATATTATATATTATTTAATTTAATATATATATATATATATAATCAATCTATGAATTGATATATTATTCATTTAAATATAATTAATTATTTAATTATTTAATTATTTAATTATTCTTTTTCAAAACTAATTATTATCTTTTAATTATAAGTGAAAAAAAGTACAAGAAACTGATTAATTACAATTACAATTGAAGATCGATAAAATTTTATGTGATTAAATCGAATAAGTCTCTATCTATTCTTAATGAAATCTATAAATTGATATAATATATCAATCGAGTACTTAATTAAAAAAATATTTAAGTAAAAAAAAATTTAATTAACAAATAGTGTATATTATACATGTATAAGTCAAGTATATAATGTTATCGAATTGGATTTAAAATCGCATTATATAAGATTGAGAGTTATATTATAAATTATATATATATATATATATTTATATCTATTTATTGCGTATTTTTAGCAATTGTCACAAAATAAGAATAAATGCTCATCGAATAGTGACTTTTTTTTAAATTAACATGTCTTCTATCTATCTATATTTTTTATATAGATATATATTATATATGATAAAAAGAAAGATATAATAAAATCCAATTCAAATAAATATATCCAATATAAATATAATTTTATCAATTATACTATAATTATATGCAAATTTATTATTTACGCTAAAATTTCAAAATGACATATATATCTTATATATATTTTATACATTTCGTAAAATATTTTATTTTTTAAGAATACAATTGTATTGTTATTTTCAAAAAAACCCTAAAATTATAGGGGCCAAAAACGGTCATTAATCATTATCATAATTGTTGATATTTGTGATTTATTAGATGTATTTTCTATCCTTCTGACTTCTTTCTTTCCTTTGATCACGATCACGATCGAAATAAACAGAATAATATATATTTCATTAAATAAATAAAGCTACGATTAGGAGAATGTAAAACACATTTTCATAAAAAAAAACATTTTCAAAATTTTTCGAAAACTTATACATTCTAAGCAATGTATTAAGTATTTAGAAAATTATTTTGAAATGATTATAAATAAAAGAAACATATTATTTTGTGCATTACTCCATTACACCTTTCTTATTATCATTTTGCTAGTTACATAATAAGTTTACATGTACTGCACATATGTGTACATGTGTGGAAAAATAGAATTTATTTTCTTCAATTTATAAATCTATCGAAACAAATTATATGTACATTAATGATACATTGTTTTGATTAATTAATATCGAAAAATTTTTTTCAATACATTTTTTGAATAAAAATAAATTGTATTTTATATTGAAAATATATATTATTTATATTAATGTAATTCATAATTATTAAAATATTAATTATTATTTTTTATACATACTATATCTTTTATTTTTTTTTTTACATATATTATATCATTATATATTAATATTATCAGATAAATATTAACAAGTTTCACCGTACATGTTAAAATTTTGTATAAAAATATAAATATGAACGTGATGATTTTTTTCCGTCGCATCAAAGAAGTAATTGAATATATTATTAAATTTATTTAGACGGAAAACGTTATCTTACTTGTTTATTTCTGACATGAATACATTTTATCATTTCTACATCATATTTTTTTTTATATATGATATAATAATGATATCATAGAATTTATTAAATTGTATCATATTACTGAATGATGTGCAATCGTGCTATAATATGATAAAAAACAAATAGATAAAATTGATCATCTTTATTTTGACATATATTATGACATATATATTTTATATTAAGCATTTCTTTTTTCTCTTCATTTCATTTTTATGTCTTTTATGTTTAACTTGTATTTTCTTTTTTATTTTTATTTTTAACTGATAATCTTTATCCATTTTTAATTGTTAGTTTTGACACTGAAATTTCGATAACAAATCTATCATTAACATGTGTATAATATTAAAGATATTGTATACAAATGTTGATGATGGATTTGCTCTGTGAAAAAAATACTGCAAGATAATATATCTTATTACTTGAACCTTCAGAAATTAATTTTTTCTTTTGAACTAATAAAATTAATGAGATCAACTATTTATAAGATTAATGAGATTAAGGAATAAGACGAAATTAATCATTAGCGTTTGGTATTCTTTTAAAAAACATTCAAAATTATAATAATTATAAATATTTATCTATAGTTATTATATTTACAAATACTCTGAATTTTATCTTTATTATATGTCAATAGTTTATTGTATTAAACATCTAATAAAACAAAAATATAATAAAATAAAAACAAATTAAAATTATTACAAAGTATTACTTTTCTAATATAGAAAATAATTAATAAAATAAGTTATTTATTTTAAGAATCTAGAATAGTTTCTTAAAACAAAATTTGTTTTTCATTATAGACAGTTTTACATAGTTTTAGTTAAATACAAAAAATTTGTTTATTTTTAATTTTAAGCAATTATTTTTTAAACTTTAATAATATATTTTTAATAATTTATATGCAATTCTTTATTTTTTTATTATTACGATATTTTTTCGTTATGATTCATTGACTCGTATAATTTGCAATACTTTATATAAAAATAAAATATCATTGTTATGTATAAATCTTCCCTATTTTTTTTCTGTTTTATATCTTTTTCTATATTGACCCAAAAAATCTCTATCCAAAAATTATACAAGTCATTTCATAAAATTAATATTTTAATCTAAATTTTATTTTACTTTAGTTTGATAACACGGACAAAATGCCATGAATCATTGTTTATCCAATGCAAATCTCTCTCATATAATTTGTTGCAAAAAATATTAGAATATTCTTATTATATGTATATGTATATTATATTATTATATTATATATCATTGTATCACAGGCTATATTCTACAAACGAGATCTATTAATTCTGTTCATTGTTATTGCATTTCACACAGATATAGATCATTTGACATATTAATTTTTGATAAAAAATATGTCAAATTTTTATTATTTGCCAATACGATTCTTTATACAAATTCTTAAACGTCGTTCTATTAAAAAAATTTAAAAAACAATATGTCAAACCTGCAATGAAAGACGATAAGAGATCTATACTCGTGATATAAATTCAATAAAGATGCTTTAGATCATAATTAAATATAATATAAAATATAAAAAAGAAAAACATATAAAATAAAAAATATATAGAAGACGAAGTAAAAAAAAGTTTAGTTATTTATTTTTATAACAAATTTAAATTAACATAACAAAGAAATTGCTGCAGTGTTAAAAAATAAAAAATTATATATAAATTATTAAAAATATATTTAAAAAGTTTACTTAAATACTAAATAAAAGTAGAGGATAAGATTTTATTTAAGTATATGTCTGTGTAAAACCATTTGTGATAAAAGAATATTTTTATATCATTTTAAATTTTTAGAATAAATAATTTATTTTTTGCTATTATATATTAAAATATATAAAACTGTTATTTTATAATAACATTGTTGTTTTATTATTTTTTTATTTTACTAGAAATTTAATATAGTGAATTATTGATTAATAAAGATAAAATTTAAAGTGTATGAAAATGATCAGTATTCTACATTAATTATCTATCTATCATTAATTATCAATATTATTTAGCCACGATATGTTATCAGTGATTAAAATCCCTAAAAAATAAAAGCAAGTTTCTTTTCATTTTAAATAAAATCCTTATTTTATGAAAATGAAAAAAATTATGAAATTTGTTCAATAATGAAATCTAAGAATCGCATAGAGAATAGACAAATATAAATGCATAATGTAAACATAAACTGTATATGAGAATGAAATGTATGTAGAGAGAAATTAATAATTCACTAATCACACATTGGTAAATTTATAATGAAAAAAACATTCAATTCTATAAGAATTGCAAATATTATAAATATCGTATATAGAAATAAACATATAATTCCTACTTTTTTGTTCAATTTAATTTAAAACATGCTATAACTGTATAAAGAATAATTACGCAAATAACTGTCGAAAATACACTATATTTTAAAGCTCCTGATTCGATTTCCACATATCTTTTTTCCATGAGACATTTTATTATCCATGGTAAACCCAAACAAAGTAAGATGTCAAGAATATTTGCTCCCAATGTATTACTCATTGCCATATTTCCGTCGCCTATACATACATATATTCATAAAAAAATCTTTATATATTATGTACAAAATCTTTTATATATTCATTCAATTATTTGAGTTTCATAAAAATATAAAAAATATATATAAAAAAAATATATATATATATATATATATTAAAGGCAAAAAATAAAAGAAAAAAAGAAAAATAGAGAACTTACCTTGTTTTGCTAAAATTACAATTGATGCAACTTCTGGCATATTTCCACCAGCTGCTAGAAATGTAAGACCCATGATGGAATCAGGGATACCTATGATATCACCGATAACCGTTGTCATCCAAGAAACTAAATACGAAGATATCGCAATCCAAATCATGCACATGATAAAAGTCAACGGATACCAATGTTTCAATCGTTCAATCTTAGGATCTGGTATCGTTATAAATAATAAAAATTTTAATGGCCAACCAAACATGAACCAACATTTTTCAATAATAGTTCGCTCTATTGGCCAAGTAAATAAATATTCTGCAAACATAATAATACAATGCATTTCCTTTATATTTATATTTTTTATCCTATTTAAAAAACAATATCATGTAGATAATATAATGTTATATAAAATTATACTACAGTATACCAAAAATTGAACGCTTCATCGATTTCTTAAAATTTTCTACATTTTCAGAATCATATATCCGATTCTGCTGCCTTTCTAAGTTCTGGATATTCAAATTCTTTTTATGGTCTACAACAACTGCGTTGTCTTGAGGACGCAATTTATATGAGCCATTAGGAGGTAAATTTTCATTCAAATCAATAGTGGATACTATGATCAATAATAAAAATATTTTTTATTATTTAATATACAGTTATTTTCTAAAATTTTTCAACGAACAACCGAGTATATGATATAAAAATTGAAAAATATATATAGATATTAATATCACTTACGCTTTATAGAGTTGGAATTAAAAGAAATTTTGTCGCAACATAATCTAATATGTTTACCGCAAAAGAGCAAAATTAGATAAAAACAAAACAATATTAACAAGATCATTGCTTCGTACCATTGAATCTTTGCATCCCACATTATTATTACTAATGTTCCAACAGATATCACATACATTATACAATCTCGTGACAATACTTGCCATTCTAATGGTATTGCCTATATCAAAAAAAAATAAAAAATCAATTAGAAATTAAGAAATAACATCAAGGATAGAGATACATTTGAATGAAACAATAAATAATATAACGTTAACGAGATTATATAATAAATAAAAAAAATAAATTCGATATGATCGATTTAAATATAGTTAAAAAGATGTTTATTGTGCTCTAAAAATCTTTACCTTGACGACAAGATTATATGAAATATTGATATATATATATATATATATATATTTACATCAGTATTTGCTAAAAAATGCTTCATGTATATATGGATATATATACATGGATATACAATCAGTCATAGAAATTTTTGTATATCATCTTACAAAAAAATTCCTAATCTGAAAATTCTATTTTTAATAAATTATATATAAAATAATTTTTTTTTGGTGGAAAGTCTTTTTGAAAGAATGAAAAATTTTAGTACTTCTTTATATTATTTTAAATACAATTTATTTAATAATTATAATTTGTATTGAATGAAGTGAAACAAAATTGAATAAAAATATTCTTCGTTACATCATTATGCATTCTATTTTTGTCTCAATTTTTAACTCTAAACTTAAATTGCTTATAACTTAATAAATAAACTTTAACTGATATTTTTGTGTATCAACTTTCGTTTTGATTTCTGAAATTAATTCTCCAAAAATGTTTCATTATATTATATATAATATATTAATATATATTTCTATATTAATCTATATTAATATATATTTCATTCTTGTTCTATATTTCAAATATAATCAAAATTTCATCAAAAATTGAATAACTAAATTTTTATTTAATATTATATTATTTGAGATCACATATAATGTATGAAGATTTTTCAATTGATTATATGTACATGCATGCATATATTTGATTATTATAAATAAGAAGAATATTATGCGTTAGTCATATGACAGGTATTAATATCATTTATATAACAAACCATTTCATTTTTGATTATCATAATTATAATAATTTTCATAACAATTATTTTCAAATATATAAATATAATATATTTTTAATAAACAATATACTTACATAAAAAGTCATCAACGCTCCACAAGCTGGAGTTGCGAAGGTATCGAATACAGCACTACCAACAACTGTACCGGCACCAAGATCTGATTCGGTTAAAAACGTTCCAATAATATTCACAAACAATTCAGGAAAAGAACTAGCCATTGCAAGAAATGTCGCTCCAGCAACATCGGTGCTTATATTCAAACTAGTGCATATACAATCAATGGCTGGTAATAAATAATCATGGCAAACGAATGCCGTCAATAAAAAACAATATAATCCAAGAAAAGCATGTAATACTACTGCTCCATGACGTCGCTGTTCGTGTGTGAACAAATCCTCAGGAAAATCATGTATCGAACGATCCGTACACTTCTTGTCTTCTTTTTTCTGTTCAATTATAAAGTATCTTTGTTTTCCATTATCTTTCACCGCTTGTTTTATTATTTCGTTTTTCATTAATGATTTATTCACTTCATGCGCTCGAATAATATTGGCCGAAATCGGGAACGATTCTATAAGTGAAACATTTCTTTCTCTTTCTCAAAGCTATAAAAAATATTAAATAGTAAAAAACAAGTGAATACGTACAAAAAATTTTTAATTTATAGTTACAACTGCAGATTTATTTAAATAATTTAAACATATCAATCAATATTTTTATAAAAACATAATCTTTTTGATTTCGATAATCATTTAAATGGGGAGAATTTATAAAATTAATGAATTAAATGTTTTTTATACTATATAAGTAAGACTTCCCTTAGAAGTATGTGATAGAACGAAATTAAGATCTCATCATATAGAAATAAGGAACTTATATATACTTACCTTATTCGATACAATCCTCATTATTAATATTTGATATTATTAAACTATGCACCAAATTATAATGAATGCATTTTCTGACGAATAAATTCAAAATATATTATAGAATAAACTCATAAAACATTTGATGAATAAAACACGTAATACACTTTCATATTATCAATTTGTTTGATTGTTCTAACAAATTTGTTTAAATGTTGATTTTATTCCAATTTTACATTAGTTATTTTATATTAGTGAGACAAGTCTCATCATATAGAGAATATTTTATAAAATATTGCAATATTATATGCATTTTATAAAAAAAAAGATACTATAATTATGAATAAAAAAACGATAAAATATTTTATTAAAAAATCATAAAAAAATATGAAAGAAATATAAATAAATAATACAAATAAAGAAAATATAATAGTATACTTGTGTTATTATATTATATATAAATTTATTATATATAAATATTATATAAACAAAATGATATTTTTATTATTTTATGATATATTTATGATATTTATGAAGATTAATCAATGTAATCTTCATTAAATAAGATCTATTCAAAAATTTCACATTCTCTGTTAATAAATACAAAAAAATTATTTTGCATAATTTTAATTATGTTTCATTTTCAATACATTAATTAATTATTCTTATCGTTTTATTTTATATAATTTTTTATGCACTTTTTCATTAATTTTTTTATATTTATTCAAAATATCCTAATTAAATAAAAATAATGTAATTTTAAGACCAATATATATATTATTCGCAATAAATATTTCCGTCACATTTCTCATTTCTTTTTTATTATCTTTTAATCAATATATCTTTATTTTATTTATTCTTAATTTTTAATTCTTTTTTTTTTTACGCATTTATGTATAATTATAACTATAAATATATATACTATAAATATACACAAACACAAATTTTGACCAGAAAAACTCTGGCACATATATTAGGATTATATGAGATATATTCTTTTAAGTAATTCTAAATAAGGAATTAAACAAAAAACGCAACTTCCTATATAAAAATATTGGTTAAAACTTATTTATTCAGTTTTATGAAATTAAAGTTTCTTTTAAAAACTTATAAAAATAAAATTATACTATTCTATCTGCATTTATTATTGTGTATTGTCTATATTTAACGCAAATTTGAATTGGTCATAACTTAATAAATAACTTTATAATATATTTAGTATATTGAACTTGTATATTTAATTTAATCTCTAAAATTGATCAAAAATATTACACAAATATATTAACATATTCTCTCTCTCTCTCTC